GAGAGAGAGAGAGAGAGAGAGAGAGAGAGAGAGAGAAAGAGAGTGAAAAAGAGAAAGACGGAGCAAAATCGAGAGCGAGCGAGAAGACAACAGAAATAGAGGGGAAGAGAATCGGAACCACCTCTCCTGTTTCTTCTAGCTCTATTCTGAGGAAGTCGTCACCAAAAATGGCGGGGCGCGCGAAGCGTGTATGCGACGATGCGCGTAACATCGTCGCCCGCGCTTCGTTATCGCTCAGCGTCACCGTGCGGTGTAATCAAGGTCCTCGCGTGGCGAGGCGCAATGATGATTTTTCCCAAGCGGAGAAAATCATCGAGCGGAAAGGAGAGGGGCACGATATCTCGATATGTATAGCCGATAATTGTAACCCAACACCCGCCGCAGAGACAGTGGTTTGGTCTCGGTACGCTCGAATGAAGCGCAGCCCGCCAAGAATGCACGCAATCTGCCAAGGAGCGAGAACGATAAGCATAAAAATGTACAAAAATGGAGTTGATCTCTCCTTACAGCCACCTGAGAAAGCGGAGAGATTGCTTAAGATCAAAGTACAAAACGTCGTTATTTATTTATATGTTTCTTTTTATCAACCATTTAATTAACCAATTTTTTTTTTAACGAATCATTTTCATATACGTGATGCGATTAGTAATTTAAAAATTAATTAATATACATATGTCGTAATTAGTACACAGAATCTCCATCAAATTCTCTATGTTTAGTACTAAAGGTACTTCTACTAGTAACTGTAATTTTTCTATCAAATATAAATATATTTTTTTAATTGACGTTTACTTTTGTATTTTCACATATTTTATATTTCATATTATTTAATATTATTTCTTAGATCTAATAGTGATTTTCTTACAGATGCCCGAAGTTGCATCACGTGCGACAAGGTCCTGGCCGAATTGGAAAAAATCGACGACGATACAGACCACTTTGGAGTTGACTTTGTTAAGATCAACGATAAACGACTTGCGAAGCAATATGGTATCAAGAATTTCCCGGCTCTTACGTACTTCCGCGACAAGGAACCAATTATATATGAAGGTAAACGATTATTTAAGCATTTGCTCGAGTAATGATTAATAATTTGTTAGAATTGTGAAATTAAATTAACCAGAATAATAACACAGAATTTACTAATTTTAAAATTAATAATAAAATATTGATAATTATAACGTAATAAGATAATAAACAACAAATAAATCTTGTGTAAATAAATCACTGTATTATCGGTTTTATAATTAACATATCATTATATACATATAAAATTTTTTTATTTTAGGTGACTTGATGGATGAGGAAAATGTACTGGATTTTCTTACAAGTTTAGAAGCGATGGATTTACCAGATCGTATTGAGGAAGTTAATGCAAAAATACTGGGGAAGATTGTCGAGGAAACAGATTTCGTGGCGGTTCTTTTCTGTAAGTTACTTTTCTCATTATACGTATTGGATTATGTCTCAGTCAAAAATGTATCCAAAAGACCGCACGCAACTATCTGGAGTACGTTCTCCAAACGTTCATTTTTTCATATTCTAATAAAATATCGAGCATGCTGTCTCGTTGTAAATTATCTCCCAGAAAAGTTTATGGAGCATGTATATTCGAAATATTACGTATTAGAAAAAATTAGGCAAATCGGAATACTTAGCTAAATAACTAAATAAAGATAATTCTTATTACCATTCTCAAACATTTACATTTAAATCGTAAAATATAAAAAACAAATATCTATAAGATATTCTAAAGACTTTTGTGGAAAATACACATATAAAGAATCAAATTATTAAAACCAATAAAAAATTTTGATAATTTACTGTTCTTAAATTGCTTGCATACTATGACACTATTTTTATAGTAAAAAAAGAAAATTCCGCATTGTATCAAGCCAATTCAAAAGTATTTTAAAAAGTTATTCAACTTTTGTAAATATGAGCGAGCAAGAGATTGAAACGACAGAACTACGAAGTTATTTGCTTGCATGTAATTGAACAGTTTTAATTTAAATACGTGAATAAATAATCTTTTAATTAATGGAGACATAAGTAATTACAGAATACAATCCGTCTCAAGTTCGACATCTTCAAACTTATTTAAACTGTATACTTCATGAAATTTTATCTGGTTTGAAAAACATACAAAATTAAGTTTTAGGATAGTAAACATGTCAGTCAACATCGAAAAATCAACGGAACACAGCGATGCTACGTAATGTACCCTGACTGCCATCCATATACCTATCGTTCATTTAATTTGTTATCGTCCGACATCTTACTAATCATTTGTGTATGTCACGTGTGCGACGAAGTCACTATACATACAAATCACGATTAACTTGCCCGCAAATTGCTGTGATTTCCAGATACTGCATACTTTTATTATATGCACGTCGATCATCATAAAGCAATGAATTAATAAAACAGCAAATTTAATAAGACGGTTTTTCACATTGCCGTCTTTATTATAAGACTCTCAATCATATCAGATGTATACATATCACCATGCACAATTTCATGTTTCTTGAGTTGCAATTGTTTCTAATTTCATATATACAGAGAAGGATTTAAAAAAAGAATATATTTTTTTATTATTATTTAGCAACAAATTAAAAAATTATACATCATATTAGTGAATAGCAAATCATTCTCTGTATAAAATACAGTGTTTAAAGTGTCAGTTTGTCTGTTATACTATATTTGTAAAGTCCATCCAGTTATTTCTGTTTTTGTCTTTCGTCCATTGTCCGTGGCGATGATTATTAAATTAAAATATCCTATCGCAAAATGGATACTTTTATATCAATAGGAATAAATTCCAACAGCAGCAAGAATAATCGAATACTAGAAAATATTCGTCCACTTTGCGATTCGATCCATACAAAATATACTTGTAAATAATACATATATGTGAAAATTCTTGTGTGTGTTGATATGGATAGGTCCAGACACGGAGCGGTGTGCGGGCGCTGGTTCTAGTAAGTACATACTTATAAGAGATCGATGTGATTAAAATTTGTGGCACAGCATCTGTACTTTACGCTTTCTTTTACACATACATTCATGTACACGTATACGTACATTTACACTGCTACACGCATTCGATATTCGGTTGATGCACTAATGAAAGATCACTTTATGCAATCATTATTATTCCAATGTTTAATATAAATAATTTTTCTTCTAAAGCTCCAATTTCTTCCAAAATTTATTTATTGCGATCATATTACATTATGATGTTAGAAGCAAAAATTATGAGCTTCTTTTCTGTAACATTGTTTTTTTTCTTTCTTTGGGAGTGATTCTTCGCAAGTGCGTCACATCCGGAAATAGTGATACTGATACGCACTTTACTTACGGCAATTTTTTTTCAAATACTTATTCTTAACTCATCGATCTGCGTGTTCATCGATTATCAGAGTTGTATCTGTCGCGTCGTCCCTGCAGCACTTCGCTCCAATGTACGTGTACAACGACAGAGGGATGCGGTACGCGAAGAGAAATGGATGTCAGTGGAGCGGCAAGAGCCTTTACATTCATGCATTTCACTTTCCATATACGATGAAATCTTTTAAAAATTGTTTTTAGTGAACTAGTACTTGTGATACGAAATAACGTGTAATATTGATGAAAGAGTCAATTAACATCTTGAGTTTTTCAACATTTCCTTCTTTCATTATTTATTAGCGCTTGAATTGTGATTATTGGCTAATTAAAGTATTAGCAAATATTTAAGTATCATCTGCACTTATGAGTGTGTATCAATCATATGTAGAACATAGAATGCATTATATTCCGCATCCCTGTTTAGAATAAAACAATGTGTATTATAAGAGTGAGACTTTGGGAATAATTGTGTATACTAATCCAACCGTTTCGATGTCATTTGCATCTAAGACGATTTAACATACTTAAAAGAACAGTCGTCTATAATTTTAAATATTTATATAATATTTAGCCAGATTTATAAGAAAAATTTTTTATTTTTATATATTTATATTTATATTTATATTTATATTTATATTTATATATTTATATATTTTATGTGTAGTAAAATTATTGATGTTATTAAATACACCTAATAATTGAATAAAAATAAAATTTGAATTGTAGGAGACAAATTTTTAATGTTGTATGGGAAAAGTACCGTACTTTGACGGAACAAAACGCTCGACGCTCGGCGTTCGCCGTTCTACACAGAAACACATAATAATGCATTTTTTTATTTTAAATGGGACAGACAAGCCAGACTGCAAAAAGTGTCTCAAGGCTCTACAAGAATTAGAGAACATCGACGATGAAGCCGATCAATTAGGTATCGGTTTCGTAAAGATTGCGGACGAGCAGTTAGCGGACGAGTATAATCTCGGTCCTCTCCCAGTTCTTGTGTATTACAGGCATCAAATTCCAATTATTTACGAACGTAAGTATGAGAAAATTACTGAATAATAAAATAATAAAATAATAAAATAATAAATAATGCATAATACTACACAATGTGCGATTTACTTAAATTTTACATAGACATAGAGATAACGTAAGATAATTTAATGACATTTTGGTTTTTCTTTAAAAATACAATTAATTGAAATATTTATTGAAACATTTATTTGTGATAGTTGTAATATAATATCTTGTAACTTGTAATCAAATGAAATTTTATTTATTTACAAAATTCGATTGCTCTTAATTGAAAGATTATAAAATTTTTTGCATCATCTATGTTTCTTACTTTATCTTATTTTAATTATATGGAGCAATACAGAAATAAAATTAACTCGCAGTACGTGCTCTTAGATGAGTTGAGTAGAGAAGAAGATGTGCTGGAATGGCTGGTGGCAAACAAGAGTACAGGAGATGAAGAGGATGTTATCGAAGATGTTACAGCCAAGACGTTGAATACACTAATTGGAAACATTGACAATTTAGTCGTTCTGTTCTGTTCGCATCTTTTCATATCATTTTTCATCTTTATTTGCCTTTGTCTCACTTTATAACGTGCACTTGTATTTGCAGATGATCATGGTGACGAAGAATCTATGCAAGTCCTAAATGAGCTAGAAAAGATCGATGATGACTGTGATAAGCATGGGATTCAGTTTGTAAAAATCGACGACGAAAAGGCGGCAGAAGAATTCGGAATCGACGATTTACCCGCGATCGTCTATTTCGAGAAGCAGATCCCGAATGTTTACGACGGTAGGTAGGTGAATCAAACATATCGAATGGAACGATAATATCTATACGCAAATGATATAAAAAGTGATCACAAAAAATTATACTATCTCTAAATTAATAAAAAGATCTATATAAATCAATTTATTCGAGAGAAAATAATGCGACAATTGCAGGAGATATAGAAAATGAAGACGAAATTCTGGAATGGCTATTGTCACAACTCGAGAAGGACGAGATCGAAGACGTCACCGATGAGATGCTGGATCGTCTCATCAAAGATGGAAAGACCTTGGCCGTATTATTCTGTAAGCTATATGTGTTAACTAATCTCAACATTAGATGTAAATGATATTAAAGTATGTTTATAATAATAACACAGACGATAATAACGATCGGAAGTCTCAGAGAGTTCTCAATGAATTGGAGAACATCGACGATGAGTGCGATCAGCTCGGCGTGGCGTTTGTGAAGATCGACAACGCGGAGGAGGCTAAGGAGTACGGAATTCAGAAAATACCTACGATGCTTTATTTCGAGAAGGGCATTCCTATGGTGTACGAGGGTAATCTCGAGGACGAGGAGAAAGTGCTCAAATGGTTAGAGCAGCAGCAGAAGACTGACCAGATCGAAGACGTCACCGACGAGATGCTTGACATGGTTATAGAGAAGATGCCACACGTAGCTGTTCTCTTTTGTCAGTAACTATTTTTCGCGCTTTTATTCTCTATGTCTGATTTTTCCTTCACTCAAAATTGCATTGTTTTTAATTATTATGATATAATCGTTGATATAATCTTTGATGTAATTCTATCATCATCACAGATGACAAAGACCAGAAGAAGAGCCAGAAGGTGCTGAGCGAGCTAGAGAACATCGACGATGATTGTGACCAGCACAATATAGCCTTTGTGAAGATCAGCGATTTGGACGAGGCAAAGGAATACGGTATCGATTCGCTTCCTACCTTGGTGCTGTTTGAACGAAGGATACCACATGTTTACGATGGTTAGTCTTGCTGAAAGCTCTTTCTATTTAAAAAAAATTAAAATAATATAATTGCAAGTAATGGAATTATTGACAAAGTTCTCTTAATTATTATTTTACAGGCGATCTCATGAACGAGGATCAGATACTGGGCTGGCTGTTGCACCAGAAAAAGCATGCCGAGATCCCGGAAGTAACGGATGAAATGATCGAAAAGCTCGTAGAGACCTCACCGTACATAGCAGTCCTGTTTTGTAAGCGATCGATTCGTCTTTCTACCTCCTTTTAACATTCTTCCACTGTTACTTGTTAGGTAGGTGCTGTTGTATGGCCGCGAGTGAGAGCGACCAGCGAATTGATTCTTTTTCGTAGACGACAAGGACGATAAGCAGGATATGCGGATCTTGAATGAGTTGGAGAACATAGATGACGAGCTGGAGAAGGAGGGAATCGTCATCGTCCGCATAGACAACGACGCAGAAGCCAAAGAATATGGTATCGATCATCTCCCGACTCTGGTCTACTTCGAGGATAAAATCCCGGCGATATACGAAGGCGATCTGCTGAACGAAGACGAGGTCCTCGAATGGCTGATAGAGCAGAAGAACAGCGCTACCATCGAGGAGGTCACGGACGAAATACTGACGGATCTCATAGAAGACCACGAATACGTTGTGGTATATTTCAGTAAGCACGCATTTCTCTTATTAGCATTATCAATTGAGCACACTGAAACATTTTTCTTATTTGCTTGAAACAAACGATCAAACATTGTGACAGGTGGAAGTTGCGACGAAGGAGAAGAATGCGACAATATCCTCGATGAGTTGGAGAATATCGACGACGAGCTGGACGAAACGGGTATTGTATTTGTTACTACCGAAGACATCAGCATGGCAAAGAAGTATGGTATCAAGCATTTCCCGACTCTCGCGTTCTTCCGAAACAAGGATCCGCTGATTTATACCGGCGATCTCGACGATGAAGACGAGGTGCTGTCTTGGATCACGGACGAGGACACTTTGGAGATACCAGGAAAAATCGAAGAAGTCAATGCTAAAATGTTGGAGAACATTCTCGACGAGAACGATTATATCGTTGTCTTTTTTTGTACGTCAGTTACAAGATGATCAAACGCGTCGCTGTGTGTAATTGATTGATTGATTGTGATACAGTGAGAACACTTGTTTGCAGACAAAGAAGGCGACAAGAAGAGCCAGAAGATCCTCCAGGAGCTTGAAAACATTGACGACGAGTGCGAAGAGAAGGATATCGACTTTGTGAAGATCTCTGACGAGGGAATTGAGAAGGAATACGATCTTCCAGGACTACCAGCGTTAGCTTTCTATAGACACAAGTTCCGGCAGATCTATTCAGGTGATATGATGCATGAAGAAAAGATCTTAGAATGGGTTCTCGAACTTCGCACAACAACTCCGGATGTCATCGAGAGCGTCGATAGAAAAACATTGCAAGTGCTCATCAATGATGTCGAGCATCTCGCTGTATTCTTTTGTAAGTATTAATTTTTAAGTTATCAAATTCATATTCATATACAATATAAGATATTTCAAAATTATAGATAAAGATTTAATAGAATTTATAAAAGTAAAGTAAAAATAATAAAAACACTCTTATATATCATTTTGATATGTTAATCTTAAGGAAAATTAGTTTAAAATTGGTCCAAAAATTCAGATTAAAAATGAGAGACATAAAATTTCTAAAAAAAAATGTTTTCTTTTTCTCACAGCAAAACG